TATATGTATATATATTAAGCTTCCAGTCTTAAATTTCTTTTTATTTCAGTGTATAAACAGACTTAACAGACCAAGAAATGCATAAATAATGACAGCTTGCTATGCACCCTTGTGGCCAAGTCATGAAATACAGATGAAGAAACTAGGCTTCATATTGAAGAAACTGTTGGTAAATTTTTTTTTTGAGAGAGAGAATTTTTTAATATTTATTTTTCAGTTCTCGGCGGACACAACATCTTTGTTGGTATGTGGTGCTGAGGATCAAACCCGGGCCACACGCATGCCAGGTGAGCGCGCTACCGCTTGAGCCACATCCCCAGCCCCTGTTAGTGAATTTTTTAAAAGACCTATAGGTAAAGAATGCTAAAGAGCAAGTCGAGTCCCCCTACCCTGGATATCAAATCTTAAAGAATATTATATTGAGTTCAACTGTTCCCTCTTCCCTCTTCAAAATGAGATACCTTAAAAAGGTAATAAATTGAGTTCAGGGTAGCTCCCCTATCTCTTCGTTTTTGATTTTAAAATACATGTTATGAGCTGTTCCTTTAATGGAATTAAGGAATGCCTTGAGAAATTTACTCTTTAAAAAACTTTTGTAAATAGCATTCAAAACAGCCAAAAAAAAAAAAAGAAACTTTTGTGACTTCAAAGCACTCTATGATAAACAGCAAAATCAAAAGGATCAGTGACAATTTGTATTACAGACTCATTTATTAAAGTTCATGAAAAAATATTTTTAATTCTAGAATTTGTTTCTGGCTAATGTAACTCACCCTCTTCCTCCTCTTCTTCCCCTTCTTCTACATAATCATCATCATCTTCTTCATCCTTGAAATTCAAATATTCAGTTTGAGTATAAATAAACCATAACATATTTTTCACTATTGAGTATATCCCAACAAAGGCAAAAACTCTAGTTACCCTGTGTTTTGATAACCACAACTTCTTCCTTATTTATATCTTTTTTTAAAATCCAACTAAATATCTAGTTCTTTATAAAAGTAAGTTATGCTTTCGACCACCACTGTTCTTAGAACTTCCTGCAACAATGGAAATATACCATATCTGTGTTGTGCAATACAATAACCACCAGCCACACATGACTACCGAGCACCTGAAATGTAACCAGTGCAAATGAGGAATTGAATTTTTAGTTTTAGTTAATTTTAATTAATTTAAATAGCCACATCTACCTACTAGCACAGGTAGGACAGCACAACTTTTGACTCTTTTTAAAATGAGACCTTTTATTTTACAGATCAAGTTAAGAATGATCTGAATCCTAGCCAACATAGTTATATATGTTGAGTCAAACCACATTATCTTTCTGGACCTCAATTTTCCAATCAATAAAAGCAAAGCACAGGTTGAGCTTTTTTTTTTGGTACTGGGGATTGAACCCAGGGGTGCTTTACCACTGAGCTACATACATCCCCAGGCCTTTATATTTTTTGTTTTGAAATAGGGTCTCACTGAGTTGCTTAGGGCCTCAAACTTGTGATCCTCCTACCTTGGCCTCCCTAGAAGCTAGAATTACAGGCATGTGCCATGGTGCCCAGCACCAGGTTGAGCTAGGTTGCTTGTTTTCTTTCTTTCTTTATTTGTAAGGAATAATAAAAGAGGATATATAGCTATAATTTTCAAAAAATATAAACTACTAATCACACTTATTCCTTGATGATTTAGAAAAGTCCAAGTCTAAAAGAGCTCTCTCTCTGAATTTTGTTTCAAACAAAATGTGACTGGATTAATTGATTCATGTTCTAGACCTTTTTAAAAATCATCTTTTAGATACTATCAATAAAAACTCAGCTTTTGAAGTCACCGTGATGGCGCACACCTATAATCCTAGTGACGTAGGTGGTGGAGGCAGGGAGACTGCAAGGTTGAGGCCAGCCTCAGCAATTTAGCAAGGCCCTAAGCAACTTAGTGAGAACCTGTCTCAAAATAAAAAATAAAGGGGCTGGGGTTGTGGCTCAGTGGTAGAGCACTCACCTGGCATACATGTATGAGGCACTGGGTTCAATCCTTAGCACCACGTAAAAATAAAATAAAGGTATGTGTCCACCTACAACTAAAAAATATACATTTTTTTAAAACTTAAAAATAAAATAATAAAAAATAAAATGTGGTTCAGAGCTTGACTTCCCCTGGGTTAAATCCCCAGTATCCAACCCCCCAACCTGACCCAAAAAACTCAGTTTGCCAGAAATTTGTTCAGTAGAGACTACAGTCTTCTCATTAGTGGGAGATATTTCCTCATTTGTGGATGAGTAATACAAGGACACCATGATTCTCAATCCTCCCAAAGCTCTCAACTTCTTTTTTTTGGGTGGGGTGGAGGGGTGGGGGGTGGGTATGGGATTAAACATAGGGGTTCTTTATCACTGAGCTACATCCCCAGTCCTTTTTTATTTTTTGAGATATGATGTAACTGTTATTGAGGGTCTTACCTTACCTCTGTTTTTTAAAATATATTTTAAAGTTGTCAATAGACCTTTTCTTTTATTTATATGTGGTGCTGAGTGCCTCACACACGCCAAGCAAGCTCTCTACCAATGAGCCACAACCCCAGCCCTCATCTCCACTTTTTTAAAATTTAATTTTATTTTTTTTGTACCAGGGATTGAACTCAGGGGCACTTGAGCACTGAACCACATCCCCAGCCCTATTTTGTGTTTTATTTAGAGACAGGTTCTCACTGAGTTGCTTAGCACCTCACAGTTGATAAGGCTGGCTTTGAACTCTCGATCCTCCTGCCTCAGCCTACTGAGCTGCTGGTTATAAGTATGCGCCACCACACCCAAGCATCCTCATCTCCATTTTTAATGATTTATATCACACACACATAAAGTCCTTCTTTACACATATTAATTCCTTGCCTCTGAAGAACAGTGAAATAGGAAGAAATTTTTTAAAAAATCAAATAAAAAGTTAATTGAATGGGCTGAGGTTGTGGCTTAGTGGTAGAGCACTTGCCTTGCACATGTGAGGCACTGGGTTCGATCCTCAGGACCACATAAAAATAAATAAAAATTTTTAAAAGTTAATTGAATAGGCACTCTCTTTCCTTCTAATTTCTTTTTAAATCTCAATCATCTCTAAAGCATTCCCTGGCGCTTAGCTTCTAAAAACAAGACTTCAGACCAGGCCCGGTTGCACAAGCCTGTAACTCCAGTGACTCCTATGGTTGAGACAGGAGGATTACAAGTTCAAGGCCAACCTCAGCAATTTAATGAGACCCTGTATCAAAATAAAAAATAAGAAGGGCTGGGGATATCGCTCAGTGGTAAAGTGCTTCTGGACTTAATCCCCAATAGCAAATAAAAATAAATAAAAACAATAAAAATAAAATAAAAACAAGACTAAGTTTTCAACATTCAGATTATCCCAGGAACAAAAACTCCTTCTGGTCCCTGCTACTCCTACAGACTTAAGGTTATATGTATTATCACAGAATTTTTTATTCTTTATGTGGCCATGTCATTTGGGGTTAGTATTTCACAGTACTCAATGGAATGATAAAGCTAACATTTGCAGTTAGTTGAAAGTAATTTTTAAATGACTTAATACTACTTAGAATTAAGGAGGAATTATTGGCACAAAAAAAAAAGGCCAAATGTTAACAACAAGACACTTATTTTATTAAATAAATAAAAATTTATGGGGAAAAACATTTAAGCTGTATATTGGTGTAAACCAAACAGACTGAAAATAAATATTCAAAATATTCTGTGAAGATTTAAAATATTTAAGGTTCTGTTCTTCGTTATTATATAAGTTCCTAACTCACTAGGGCCTGAACCAAATGTACAGTAGTTTATTTTCCACGGTAGTTTCATATTTAAAATGGTATCAGAAAAAAATAATCACTGACCAGATATTATCGACCTGCTTGATGTAAAAGTAATTAGGAGAACAAATAATATTTAGTCTAAATAAGAATTCTTCCTCCCCACACCACCACTGTGGGGATCAAACCCAGGGCCTCATGAATGCTAGGTAGGCACTTTAACACTGAGCTACATCCCCTAAAATAATGAAAAATTATTTAGAATTATGAAAGAAACCTCAATTTAACATTAGGAAAAAGGAACTTCACTAAACTCCCAAGAGCCAAGATTCTTTGTGCCACTGGAGATAATAAATGCTGAGGTGCAAAGATGAAAGGTATTCCCCACCCTTTACGAGCTCACGGCTGCACAGAAAGTAGCCAAATAAGTTTTTTTAAAAAAGCCTAATCAAGGTTTAAAGATAACAAAGGAAGGAATGATTTTCTAAGAAAAAACATAGAAAACTTCAAAATTAAGGTTAGCACCAGAGTTGAGTTTAAGGATAAAAGTTTACAAGGCATGACTGGGGTGACTATTACACAAGTATATATACATGTGAAATTTCACGGAGCTATTCATAAAATTAGTGCTTTTTACATGCTTCACTTATATTTATGTTTAATTAGCACAAACAAAAATTAAGTCCATCAGGGACCTGGGTAGGAAGTCATTTCAGATAGAGTAAACAATTAATACACATACATAAAGGCAAGGGATAGTTTGGTGAAATAATTTAACTTGGTACTGAGGGAGATGAAATTAGGGAAGGAAACAGGAGCCAAACGGACAATGCAGGGTTTATATCTTTGGGTGGCAATAGGAAAAACATTAAGAGTTTCCAGAAGGCTAGTGACAGGATCACATTTGCAATGAGAGGACCCAGGCAGCACTGCAGGGGATATTACTAAGTAGTGATGCTATATTCAGAGTATCAAGCAAGAAATAATTGGAGGGAAGAAATAAGTTCTACAATGTACCTACAATGTGCCAGGGACTAGATACCTACATTATCTTGTCAAATCCTTAAAACAATCCTAAGAGGTTGGTATAATCTCACTTTTATAAATGCAGAAACTAAGGCTAGAAACACCTATAAAATGTTTCTACCATACCATACCACTGAAAGCAGAGTGGATTTGAAAGACATCTGGGATTTATGATCAATAGGTGTTTATACTTATCTAGATGTAGTCTGGGATAGGCCACAATGGGGAAAAAAAGCAGACAGATACATACACATTCACAAGTTAGCAAACAACTCTCAGATTTCTCCAACTCACTTTTTATAGTACTTAGCCCTATGCCTAAGTAATTAATTTTTAAGGCTAATACAAAGTATTTATTCACCTGAATTTCTTCTTTCATCAAGTAAGAAAGGCCCACTTCTTCTTCTCCCTCTCCTAATTCTGACCCTGCTTCATCTTCATCCTCCTCCTCATCATCATCTTCCTCCTCTTCCTCGTATCCTTCAGGTGGACCAGCTTCATCTTCCTCTTCATCTCCATCATCTTCATCTCCATCTTTAAAAATATTTAAAAATATATATGTGGGGGCTGGGGCTTAGTAGTAGAGCACTTCCCTAGTACATGTGAGACACTGGGTTTGATTCTCAGCATCACACAAAAACAAATAAATAAAGGTATTGTGTCCATCTACAACTAAAAAACATTTTAAATATATATGTATATATTTTATATGTATACGTGTGTGTGTGTGTGTGTGTATTGTTTTTAAGATGAGCAAATGTCTGGACAAATGTTTCCTTCCAGTAACGTTCATCCTTTTTACCCTTTCCCAATCACTTTAAACTCTTAAGCCAACTGGTGGAAAAGTATTTCATGGTGACTTTTTTCTTTTAAGATTACCATTTTTGGGGAAACAAGGGGTGGGGGATTGAACTCAGAAGCACTCAACCACTGAGCCACATCCCCAGCCCTTTTTTGTATTTAAGAGTACCATTTCAAAACATTCAACATTTATTGCTTGAAAATGGTTTCTAAATACTGGTATTTATTCAATGTGTATATTTTCAGATATTACATGCACTGAAGTTGGTTTCACTTCGTGGACACTTCAAAACCTTCGTGTTCATCATTCATTCCAACATTTTATAACATTATTTATCCAAAACAAATTTACTTTGCTGGGCCAGTGGGCCTGTAATCCCAGCTACTCCCAAGGCTGAGGCAGGAGGATTCCAAATTCAAAGCCAGCCTCAGCAACTTAGCAAGACCCTGAAGCAGCTTAGGGAGAACCTGACTCAAAATAAAAATTAAAAAGGTAGTAAAGTACCCCTGGGTTTGATCCCCAGTATAAAAAAGAAATTATTTTAATAGTGAAAACTTTGACCCAAAAATAAATATCATCCTATTACTAACAACGGCTATTCTGTCACCTCATCTTTTAATCTTATATTCATCTAAAAATGTATATTCACAATCTAATTCTAGGATATTTTTCACCACTTCAAAAAGAAGAACCATACCTATTATCAGTTCCCATCCCCTAAATCTCACCCCAATAATCTACTTTCTATTTCTATTGGATGTGCCTATTCTGGGCCTTTGATATATATGAAACCAAACAACATGGCCTTTTCTGTCTGACGTCTTTCACTTAGCAGACTGTCTTCAAGATTCACTTTTAGGGCTGGGGATGTGGCTCAAGTGGCAGCGTGCTTGCCTGGCATGCGTGCGGCCCGGGTTCAAATCTCAGCACCACATACAGGGATGTTGTGTCCACTGAAAACTAAAAAATAAAAATGTTGGGAAACTCTCTCTTTAAAAAAAAAAAAGATTCACTTTTACATGTATCAGTACTTCATTCACTTCCATGGTGAAATAATATTATATTGTATGGATATAACACATGTTTTTAACCTATTTATCAGTTGACAGATACCCGAGTTGTCTCTACTTTGGGGCTATTATAAATGGATCCTTTAAAAAAAAAATACTATTTAAGAAGTTTTCACTATTACTGGGTAGTAGTTACACAAGTTTATATAGATGTAAAATGTCACAGAGCTTCATATTACAGAAATCATTAAATTCCCTGAAGCTATTAAAAATCTGAAAGAAGAAATATAGGCTAGAGCTGTGGGATTTAAAATTTTCTTGTCTTACCAATAGTTGATGTGGGTTTTTTCCCCTCTACCTATACCTCCAGGTCCAATCTTATTTGCATGGCTAGAGTGGAGACTATAATTATGACACATTTATGAGTATTTAGAGTGATTACCCTCATCATCCTCCTCTTCGGAGTCAGGTGCTTCATTATCCTCCTGATCAAATCCATCTAAGTATGTGATTTGTTGAAGCAATTCAAAAATACTTTCTCTGTAATCTTCCAGATTTGTGATCTCACAGTTAAACAAGTCAAGACTTTTCAAATTTTTAAGATTTTGCTAGAAAAGTAAAGATGTTCAGTCAAGATTTAATATATCATATTATTTCTTCTTAATTCACAATCCAAAAAACATATATTTGAAATTGAGAGAATGACTTTTGAATTGTTAGAATTTTATAACAAAGAGTTATTTTATAAAACATAGCCAATTCTCTTAATTAGCCCCTGGTATATAAACTCCAAAACTTTGATCTACTATTGTTACCTCCAGGATCTTAACTGAGTGCCTTATTTCTGGTGGACACTCAACACATTTTTGATGACCAAACCTGTGCATAGGCAACAACAATCACATGATCAATTTAAAACCACAAGGGCTGGGGATGTGGCTCAAGTGGTAGCGCGCTCGCCTGGCATGCGTGTGGCCCGGGTTCGATCCTCAGCACCACATACAAAGATGTTGTGTCCGCCGAGAATTAAAAAATAAATATTAAAATTCTCTCCCCCCCCACTCTCTCTTTAAAAAAAAAAAAAAAATAAAATAAAATAAAATAAAACCACATAGGCCAGGCATGATGGTGTACACTGTAATCCCAAGGACCAGAGACGCTGAGGCAAGAGGATCACAAGTTTGAGGCCAGCCTCACAACTTAATAAAACCCTCAGCAATTTAGTAAGACCTTGTCCCAAAATAAATAAAATAAAATAAAAATACCTTTAAAAAGGGTTGGAGTATAACTCAGTGGTTAAGTGACACTGGGTTCAATTCCCAGTAACAAAAATTTAAAAAAAAAAAAAAAAAAATCACACAAAGTAGGCACAGTGGTACACACCTGTAATCCCAAAGACTTGGGAGACTGAAACATGAGGATCAACGGTAGGAGCAACTGAGCAAAGGCCTAAGCAACTTAGTGAGAATCTGTCTCAAAATAAAAATATTTTTAAAATAAAGGGCTGAGGATATGCTTAGTGGTAAAGCACCCCTGGGTTCAATCCCCAGTACCCATAAAAAAAAGAAAAAAAAATACAGCTCTATTTTCAACATTTTCAATGACCTCCCAATCTTTTTTGCTGAGAGCCATTGCCAAGTAGGAATGACGCATCAAAATTTCCTTGCCAGCGTACCCCATGTTGCTTAGAGGAAGGACTCTCCATTGTGGAAATGGACTTGTCTTAGACTCAGATCATTTGCAGTGACATTGCATGTATGCTTGAGTAAGGTGACCTTCCTCAAGGACCAGGGCGGATCAGGTTTTAGGGAGTATCCCCTCCTTGGGTTTAGGGCGGTTCCAGGTTTAAGGTGTATCCTGCTGATGAGAGCCTGGTGGAGTAGTGAATTTTGGGGCAGGAAGGCAGAACGTGAATTTCCCCAGAACATGTTTGTAGAGGGCCCGTGTGAGTTCGGGAATAAAGAATTGCTGTTTGAATCTACAAAGCTGTGAGTGGCTCGTGATTTTGTGCCCAGCCAGACTGCGGCACTTTTTAAAAATCAGAGCAACAATTTTCAGAGTTTTACTAAATAGTCTTTTCCTTCCCACATACCAAAAACTAGGGGACACTTAAAGTAACTCAAAAAATTATCAAGAAGGAATGAAAAGCAATAGAACTTAAAATAATGAAAATTTTGAAACCAGATAGTCAAATCTTGAAGCTGATGATGAAATAATAAATACAGCTTTTCACTGACTTAAAAATTCTTTTGGGTTCTACCTTGTATGTCTAAAAAGAACAAATTAAAAAATTCATCTGGGGCACATATCTAGAATCCCAACAGCTTAGGAGGCTAAGGCAGGACGACCTCAAGTTCAAAGCCAGCCTCAGCAACTCAGTGAGGCATAAGCAACTCAGCAAGACCCTATCTCTAAATAAAATAAAAAATAAAAATAGGGCTAGCAATGGGCTCAGTGGTAAGTACCCCTGGATTCAATCCCTGGTACAAAAAAAAAAAAAAAATTTCATCTGGGAACTTGGGGAGACTGAGAGAAGGATGGCAACTTCTTCAAGGCCAATCTCGGCAACTTAACAAGACCCTGGCTCAAAATATAAGAACTGTGAAGGTGGCTCAGTGGTTAAGTGCCCCTAGGTTCAAAAGTATCAAAAAAATTATTATTTTTTAATTTTAAATAAATAAATAAAAAGGATTGGGGATATGGCTCAGTAGAGATGTGCCCCTGGGTTAAATCCCCAATATGGGGGGAAGTGAGGAGTGAGAGAGAGAACAAATTCAGAAGTTTTGCATTAAACAGAAATAACTAAGGTAAAACACAAACTAATCTGAGAAAATTTAACAACAACAACAAAAAAAGAAAGTCCAGTGATAAAACCTTTCCACTTACCAGAGCTTCTACCGTACTGAGATCTTTGATTTTGTTTCCACTCAGATTGAGGTAGGTAAGATTTGGACATTTTTCTGCCAGGACTTCCAAGCCTCCAGAAATTATATTGTCACTAAGTTCCAACTATATATTCAACATGGGGAGAAACAAGGAGAGTTGAAGACTTAGGATGGACCTAAGATTTTAAAAGCATACCAATTTAAGTAAGTTCTATCACCAGCAAAAAAAAAGAAAAAGAAAAAGTATACCAAAGGGGGGGGGGTGCGTTTATCATCATTAATTTTCAAATTCCCATTTGTGCCTGTTAAATGACATATGAGAACGCTATATGATGAGCTCCTAACTCAGCTTTGGTTTAGGTTGTGTTACATTTGGATTTCATGATTCAAAGAAAAATATTTGGTAGATGTTATATTCAAGTTCATGCCAAGCATGGTGGTGAACACCTATGATCCCAGAGGCTGGGGCGACTGAAGCAGAGGGATTAGGAGTTCAAAGCCACCCTCAGCATCTGAGGGAGGCTCTAAGCAAGTCAGTGAGACTCCATCTCTAGATAAAACATAAGAAAGATGTGGCTCAGTGGTTAAGCAAACCTGGGTTCAATCCCCAGTACAAAAAAAAAAAAAAAAAGGAGGAGGAACTGGGCTTGTGGCTCAGTGGTAGAGTGCTCGCCTGGCATGTATGAGGCACTGGGTTTGATCCTCAGCACCACATAAATTAAACTGAATAAAGGAATTGAATCCATTTGCAACCAAACAAAATTTTAAAAGAAAAAAAAAAAAAGAAAGAAAATCCAAATTTGTGTCATAAAGTAATCCCACTAACAAATTCAAATTTCTAAAAGCAGCTTTAGAGCTGATTCAACAAACCATTTTTCCTATCTCTAGAAACAAAATTTTCTCACTAACAGGCAGAATAGTCATTTCATTTGGCAAAATGAAATGACATAATAACCCTTGCTTGTACATCAAACTTGACTTACCTTTCGAAGTTTGTTTAAGCTGGGAAGTTGGGCCAATGAACTTAATTCCACATTAGCCATACTCAGAAACTCTAGTTCTTTAAAAGTATCATTCAGGCCTTCAATTTCCCCATTGACACACAGGCAATTATCAAGAACTAACTCTGTCACCTGTGAGAGGGAATACATTAATGATTAGTTTGCGATCTGTTTAGCAACAGACCTGGTTTGACACTGTGGAAATGTGAATATTAAAACACCAAATCCTAAACAGGGCATGGTAGCTGTTGCCTATAATCCCAGGTAAGTAGGAGGATCACTTAAGACCAGGAGTTCCAGGCCAGGGTAACCCAGCATGACCAAACTTGAAAAAACAAAAAATTGCCTTACACAGATCCTTTCCACCCCCTGCCAGCTAATATAAAATCTAGTTATCACTACAAGCTATCTTCCAAATTAAATTTAAGAGTAACAAATTCAATGCCTGATTCAAACCACTGAGTCACTAAGGTATAGAAAACAAAACTTCATGCAGGCACCATGGTGCATCTGTAATCCCACCAGCTCAGGAAACTGAGGCAGGAGGACCATAAGTTCAAAGCCAGCCTCAGCAATTCAGTGAGATCCTGTATCAAAGTAAAGCATACAAAACAAGGTGGGCATGTGGCTCAGTGGTTAAGTGCCCCTAGGTTCAATCCCTGGTACTAAAAAAACAAAACTTTGAAAAAAGTTCCAACTGAAATGTTTCTGATCCTAATGAGGATCCTCACCATCTGGACATATACTTATGCAGGAAGGGAACACTTAGAATACTGGAAAAAGATTCATGTGAACAACCTACCTAAAAAGTAGGGAATGGAGGAAACCATTTTATCACTTTTAAACCTCTTCATCTTTGGTTGATAAATGCCACAGAAACTTAAAAAACCTTGATACCCCTCAAGAAGAAATGTCAGAAAGCTCCTTCTGGGTCAGCCCATCTTTCCAGTGTTATTTGAGGACAAACAATATCATCCAGAATGATACACCCTTAAAAAAATGTTATTTCTGTCACTGTGGTACATTTTTGTGGACATTTTCCCATTCTTGGGAGTCGGGGGCTGGATTCCCTATTAGGTCAGAATTGCAGTAACAAAAGTTACTGATGAGTGTGTAAATGGGTTTAACCTTAAGGGGGAATGAGGAGACCCTGCTTCTCTTACTCCCAATGCAAAACTATATTAAAGGGCTAAAAATCAGCAACTAAGCATGACACCTTTTCTATTTGAGTATGACTTTGACAGCATTATTTTAGTAAACCAGAGATGGCACCATGATCTCCTATTTGAAGATGAGGAAACCCAGGACCAAAAAGGAGAATGACTTGCCTTGGGTCACACAGTTGGTGTGCGGTACAGCTACGCCTTCCAGTTTTAACTGAGTGGGGAGGACTACTACATTTGGAGTCAGAAAGCCAGTTCTTCCACGTAAGGAAATCATTAAATTGCCCTAGAACTCCATCTGTTAGTCTGGATTCTAGAATAATACAATCCATCTTACAAGTTTGTTGGAAGGAGAAAAGTAAATAAACGTTAAAAGTGCTTTGTAAACGGTCTACACAAATAGACACAAACAGAGGGGCCGTTATCACACCCGGCACAGGAAGGGAGCCTGCAGAAAGGTAACTGCAACCCCAGAACTGGAAGGAAATTACTGGGCTCACTAGGTAAAGGAATAGGAGAGAGGACAAGTCCCTTTTTCTGTCCCAAGACATATAGTAATGAAGGTATTCTAAACATGTGCTTCCGAGACCGCTTTTTAGGTGTGGTTGTGTTTGTCCTGTTTCTTTTCTGAAGCCCCTAAGAATAAGTTCTAGAAAAGTTCACATTCTCCGAGGGCTGACTCTGATGGTATGACTGTTTCCTCCTCCCGCCCCCCGCGGCCGGCTTCAGGGGCGCTGACCCGGGAAGAAGCGGGGCAGGGGCAAGACCCCGGGACCCCACAGCACCGTCCCACGCGGAAGGCAGGCGGGACCGGGGCAATTCTCGGCCGGCGTGTGCGGGCGCGGCCCAGGTCCCGCAGAGCCTGGGACTGCCATCCGTAGCAAGGGTCTTTTCAGGGACCGCAAACTAGCCGGCTGCTGCCGCCGTCCGCTGCGACCAGAGAAATGCGCGGGACCGACAGGAACCCCACGCCGGGCGGGGACTCCCCCAGGAAGACCAGGGTCGCTCCCCCGGTGCCCGCGC